CATCTATACATACATCTATACATACATACATCTATACATACATACATACATACAAACCGGATTCCAAAAAAGTTGGGACACTAAACAAATTGTGAATAAAAACTGAATGCAATGATGTGGAGATGGCAAATGTCAATATTTTATTCATAATATAACATAGATGACAGATCAAAAGTTTAATCTGAGTAAATGTAACATTTTAAAGGAAAATATGTTGATTCAAAATTTCACAGTGTCAACAAATCCCAAAAAAGTTGGGACAAGTAGCAATAAGTGGCTGGAAAAAGGAAATTGAGCATATAACGAACAGCTGGAAGACCAATTAACACTAATTGGGTCAATTGACAACATGATTGGGTATAAAAAGAGCTTCTCAGTGTGTCGGTGTCTCTCAAAAGCCAACATGGTAAGAGGATCACCAATTCCACCATTGTTGCACAGAAAGATAGAGCAACAATACCAGAATGGTGTTACCCAGCGTAAAATAGCAAAGACTTTTAAGTTATCATCATCAACCGTGCATAACATCATCAAAAGATTCAGAGAATCTGGAACAACCGCTGTGTGTAAGGGTCAAGGCCGTAAAACTCTACTGGATGCTCGTGATCTCCGGGCCCTTAAACGTCACTGCACCTCAAACAGGAATGCCACTGTCAAGGAAATAACAGAATGGGCTCAGGAATACTTCCAGAAAGCATTGTCAGTGAACACAATCCACCGTGCCATCCGCCGTTGCCAGCTGAAACTCTACAGTGCAAAGAGGAAGCCATTTCTAAGCAAGCTCCACAAGCTCAGACGTTTGCACTGGGCCAGGGGTCATTTAAAATGGAGTGTGGCAAAATGGAAGACTGTTCTGTGGTCAGATGAGTCCCGATTTGAAGTTCTTTATGGAACACTGGGACGCCATGTCATTCGGACCAGAGAGGACAAGGATAGCCCAAGTTGTTATCAACACTCCGTTCAGAAGCCTGCATCACTGATGGTATGGGGTTGCATGAGCGCTTGTGGCATGGGCAGCTTGCATGTCTGGAAAGGCCCCATTAATGCAGAGAACTATGTTCAGGTTCTAGAACAACATGTGCTCCCATCTAGACGTCATCTCTTTCAGGGAAGACCCTGCATTTTTCAACATGATAATGCCTGACCACATTCTGCAGCAATCACATCATGGCTACGTAGGAGAAGGATCCGGGTACTGAAATGGCCAGCCTGCAGTCCAGATCTTTCACCTATAGAGAACATTTGGAGCATCATAAAGAGGAAGGTGCGACAAAGAAGGCCCAAGACGATTGAACAGTTAGAGGCCTGTATTAGACATGAATGGGAGAGCATTCCTATTTCTAAACTTGAGAAAATGGTCTCCTCTGTCCCCAGACGTCTGTTGAGTGTTGTAAGAAGAAGGGGGGATGCCACACAGTGGTAAAAATGGACTTGTCCCAACTTTTTTGGGATTTGTTGACGCCATGAAATTTGGAAACAACAGATTTTTCCCTTAAAATGATACATTCTCTCAGTTTAAACTTTTGATCTGTGATTTGTGTTCTATTCTGAATAAAATATTAGATGTTGGCACCTCCACATCATTGCATTCAGTTTTTATTCACAATTTGTTTAGTGTCCCAACTTTTTTGGAATACGGTTTGTACATTCATCTATACATACATCTATACATACATACATACACACACTCACACATACATATATATATATATGCATATTATATTTATTTTTAAATAGTGGGTGGATGACATCACTCTTTACACAAACAGCTACTTGACTAGAAGCTAAAGAAGCATTTACTATGTTCAGTACACTGTGCCCAATGCACTGACAAACACTCTTAAACTGGCCTGCTGGTAAAATGTCCAGAGAGCAGGTGGCTGCCTTCATGGTGCTAACAAGCTTAACTAGCTTTGGAAGGGACACTGGCTGGAAGGAGTCTAAAATAATAGGCCAAGCTAGAGAGGGAACAGTCAGCCCAGGTACATGTGAAAATTTTTATTCTCACCTTACTGACTTTGTCTATAAAATAAGAAGGAAAAAGTTGGCAATCCTCTTTTTAAGAAATAGGAACAGAAGGTGAAGCTGGGGTGGTAATGACCCTGATAGCTTTGTGTGTTACCTGTTGTTCTGTCTGTACATCACTTTGGTTGGCCTTGTAGCTGTTTTAAGTGCTCTGTAAATAATATGGTATGGTATGATAGTATTACAAAACAGTTTAGTTACCTTTGCTCCTAGCAATCAAATTAGAAAAATAAGCTGTCCTTGCTTCTTTAACTGCATTGTTAAGAGGGTTCCTGTAAAAACAGAAGATGCACCTGTAAATTAGTTTTCTTCCACAAACGTTCAATTTTTCTGCAAGAACGCTTTAAGCAGCAGATACCATCATTTACCCACCCACAGTGAGGGGTTAGACACAGGCAGTGACCTCTTTTTGACAAGGCAGATATTGTCTAAATCATTGTTCATTAAAATGATACGTCAGAGAAACTACATCATTAAAAGGAGATAAAAATAGGTTAAAGTCAGCAGAAAAAAGGTCTGCTGTTGAGGAATTTAAAAATCGAGAACTAACCTCACAAAGAGAAGAAAGCTGTAAAACAGTTTGAGATAAATTAAAAAGAATACAATGATGGTCTGAAATAAAAATGACCTCAGAAGACAAACAGTTAATGTTCAAACCTAAAGTTAAAACAAGGTCCAAAGTATGTCCTTTGGAGTGAGATGTCCTGACACATGCTGAATAAAATTACGTCTCCATGACACTGATGAAGTTCTTGGCCAAGGAGTCAGTGACATCATCAATGTGAATATTAAAATCCCCTACAATGACCAGCCTGGACAGCTTTAAAGAAGCTGATAAGAAGTTACTAAAATCCTTTAAAAAGTACCATTTGGACCTGGTGGATGGTACACCAGTGCACAGTATAATGGGTCCTTAACCCCAATTTTAATCAGCTGCAGCTCGAACGATGCAAAACGTCTAACATTAGATGTGCAGCAGGAAAAGCCACATCTAAACACAGCTGCAAGGCCTCTTCCATGGCCTGACGGTCTAGGCTGGCTGATAAAAGAGTAGCCACTAGGACATAGTTCAATAATGGAAATAAAATCAGAATCTTGCTGCCAGTTCTCAGTTAAAAACATAAAATCCAGTTTTCAGGACTTTATGAAGTCATTCAGCAAGAACGATTTCTTAGTTATTGAAGGAACATTAAACAATGCCACATGCAGCGGGGCAGACGGGGCACTTGCCATAGCAGCTCGTTTCAGACGACGGAGAAACTGGGGGTTAGATCCACGAACATCACGTAGTCAAACGGAAGGAAGAAACGGTGATGAGTCCAGAGCTTCTGGATTAACAGAGCGGAAGTAGCAGTAGCACAGAGGTCCAGGTAGATCAAAGCCAGGTCGGGATGTGTTTGTAAAATCCCCATCTGTCCTACAGTCAGAGCAACAGATGGTGAGAGTTTTATGGAGTCGTTTGACAATGACTCCACGCTTTCAAAAAAGCCTGAGCTTCGCTTGGACACTGTCTGCCTCGCTTTCTCTTCCTCCAAGATCCATGTGAACCCAGCGCAGGCTCACAAAAAAACGCCAGAAGGGAAGCTGCTCGCTGGTGAGCCGGCACCTGAGGGTGGGGCGCAGCTCCTCTGCATGGACCTCGAATGGACAGCAGCGTTTGCCGATTATAGACCAGCATAGGTTGAACATCCCCAATACAAAACGAAAACAGGATAAAACATAAAAAATGCAGAAAAATAACGTCAGCTTGCAGCAGTGAGACAACCGACAGTTGCGAGTTCAAACACAGGCGCCATCATACTCAGTCTACACCAAACCACGCCCACATACACTCGCGCTGGAAGCACGTTCTTGTACGTCCATCCTCATTGGATGAATCCTGTGGCTGCAGGCTGACCCTGGGCTGACCAGAATTATCCCCAATGAACCGCAATTCGAGGGGGCGTGGCCAGACGTCTGTCAATCATTCTGAACCACAAAGGAACAGTAACAGAACGGGGTTGTCAGAATTTAGCCCTTTGGAACGACCCTGGGATTTTCCCCAGGCGGTTTGACACTAGTTTTGTTGTAAATTTAACAAAATGTGACATTATTTCTAAAATGTATTTATTTTTAAGTTGTTTATTTTAACATCTTTATTGTAAATGGCAGCCGCGGGGCTAAGCCCTCTTAGCCCACTGACAGCAGCCGTCACTGACTGAGAGTATAAGTTCTGATCAGAAAATGAAAGTTTGTCTTAGTATAGCCTGAACTGTTTCTCAGATTGTTCCTGGAGATCCTGAACGACTGTTCAGATGTGGACGAGATCAAGTTTCAAGAGGATGGAACTTGGTGTCCAATGAGACAGAGGAAAGACCCGGTCAAAGTCTCATCACAGACAGGCGGAACCATAGAATGTAAGTACATAGAACCTATCCTAGAAAACGGCATGACTGACTTCAACTTGTAATTTAACTTCATAGTCAGTAGTCTGAATGTCCTCCTCCTTGTGCTTCTTGTTTGTTCGGTGTTGTCTCTGAGTTTCTCAGTTTAGTCTGATAATCAAAATCAAAATATTTGTGTCCTATAATAACAAGTTTGTTGAAATTAAGTGTCCTTATAGTGACAAAAGATATATAAAAGATAAAAAAGATTAAAGGTAAGGAAAAAAACAACGTTACAAGATAAAAAGAACACATCATACAGAATGGCACACTATTGCACATTAGAAATTATTGCTCATACATTGAACTGCAGATTGAATGCCCTGATGGCTGTGGGATAAAAGCTGTTTGTACCTCCCTGCCTGATGGCAGTGGTTGGAACAGGATGTGACCTGGGTGCAGGGCTCAATTTGTATATGGACTGCAAATGGACTGCACTTATATAGCTCCTTTCTATCTTATCTCAAAGCTCTTTACATTACAATCTGTGCCTCATTTACCCATTCATACAGCTCTATACTAGATCTCTACAAAGCTAAGTGAACAAATCATTCTAAAGAGGCTAATCAGTGCTTTAGATCACATTCATACTCTGGTGGGACACACATCAGAGGCAATGAGGGGTTCAATGTCTTGCCCAGGGACACTTCGGCATGTGACTGCTGGTGGATTTGAACCCCCAACTCTCGCATTGGAAGATGACTGCTCTAACCACTCAGCCACAGCCGCCCTTTGTAGACTGAACAATGCCGGAACGCAAATGGTAGACGGGCCCTGGGGGGTGGAGGGGGTCGGGGGTCAGCCCTCACAGAATTTTGAATAAAGTAGATGCCATTTCCTGCATTCTGGTATATTTTACAAAGGTATATTACAGTAGATTAACATGAAACAAAATAGGTAAATGGTAAATGGATTGTACTTATATAGCTCCTTTACATCTTATTAAGACACTCAAATCTCTTTCCACTACAATCTGTGTCTCTCTACTAGATCACTACAAAGTTAATTGAACAAATCATTCTAAAGAGACTAATCGGTGCTTTAGATCACGTTCATACACTGATGGGACACACATCAGAGGCATTGAGGGGTTCAGTGTCTTACCCAGGGACACTTCAGCATGTGACTACTGGAGAATTCGATCCCCCAGCTCTTGCATTGGAGGACGGCTGCTCTAACCACTCAGCCACAGCCACCCGCTTTGTGGTGTTTTTAATGTAAAACACTTCCACACAGCGACATGTTTAGATGAAAAGTTTGTTAGCTGTTAGCCACAGTGCTGCTAACTCAGCCTTCACAATGTAGCTGGCTGCAAACTATGAACTGGATTTCCTGAATTTGAGGTGGGTCTTATTACTCTGGATTCACGACACAAGCCGCCGTTCATGAAATCCATTCCATAGTTTGAAGCCAACATGCATCATGGATCGGAAATATCGGCACGTGGATTGGAAAAATCCGATACGTAAATTATGCTGGTATCGGAGACCAATACTGATACTGGCTCGGATCTGCCCCATCCCTAAGTTTAACCTCACAAAATGCCTCAATTGAAGTTCTCTGAAGAACTGTGGCTTGTGGATATTAAACATTTGTACCAGCTGTTCAAAAACTTTTTGAATTTTAATGTATCCAAAACCGAAGTGATGGTTTTTGAAAGCACTGCTGGGCCATCCCCTATAGATTTAGGTTCTTTGACCCAGTACAGCAAATTTACAATAAGGAATTTGAGGGTTAAACTGCATCCTGAGCTTTAATTGGACATCCAGATCAGGTCAGTCATTAAAATAAGTTTTTATCGTTTGTGACAGCTAGCCAAAATAAAACTCTCCTTCCAAGACAACACTTTGAGACAGTAATCCATGTCACCAGGCTGGATTACTGTAACACTTTATCTGGGGGTTGGTGGGTTCTCCATGGTCCGACTGCAAAGAGTACAAAATGCTGCTGCATGACTTTTAACTGGTACACATAAACATGAGCACATCTCTCCCATTTTATTCTCATTCCACTGGCTGCCTGAGCATTTTAGGGGCTTTTTAAAAATGTTTTTATTTGTTTTTAATAATAATAATAATAATAATGCATTTTATTTGTCAGCGCCTTTCAAAACACCCAAGGACACTTCACAACATTAAAAACACAGTATTAAACAATATAAAATAACTATTAAAAACACTAAACCAAAAGAAAATAACATTTAAAAATAACAGTTAAAGTGAAAAGGCTAGCTTGAACAGATGAGTTTTGAGTTTTGATTTGAAGGTCAGAAGGCAGTCAATGTTACGGATGTCCGGGGGAAAAGCATTCCAGAGCTGGGGAGCAGAGTGAGAAAAGGCTCTGTGTCCCATGGTGCTGAGGCGGACAAGAGGCACGTTAAGGTGGATGGAAGTGGAAGAACGAAGGGAGCGTGAATGGGTGGTAATGTGCTAACAGGTAAGGAGGGCGAGGTTGTGGATGGCCTTGAAAGTGAACAACAAGATTTTAAATTGAATTCTGAATGTGACTGGAAGCCAGTGAAGTTGCTGTAAAACTGGGGTGATGTGGTGAAATGAGGGGGTTTTGGTGACGATGCGGGCAGCTGAATTTTGAACTATTTGAAGCTTACGGATTAATTTGTGAGGCAGACCAAAGAGGAGAGAGTTACAGTAATCGATTCGAGAAATGACCAGACTGTGGACCAGGATGGAAGCAGAGTGTGGAGAGAGGGATGGACAGAGACGGTTGATATTTCGAAGGTGGAAATATGCAGACTGGGTAATACTATTGATGTGAGAGTGGAAAGAGAGAGTGCTTTCAAGAATGACACCCAGACTCTTGACGTGAGGGGAGGGAGAAACCAAGGAGTTGTCGATGGTGAGTGAGAAACTGTTAACTTTAGATAAGGTGAATTTAGTGCCAATGAGTAGAAACTCTGTTTTATCACTGTTTAATTTCAGGAAGTTAGACGTGAACCAGGATTTAATTTCAGCTAAGCAGGAAGTGAGGGAGGAGGGAGGAAGTGAAGAGTTAGGCGCAGTGGATAAAAAGAGCTGGGTGTCATCGGCAAAACAGTGGAAATGGATGTTAAATTTACGAAAGATATTACCAAGGGGGAGAAGGTAGATGATGAAAAGAAGGGGCCCCAGGACAGAGCCTTGGGGCACACCTGAAAGTCATAGGAGAGGAATGGGATCTGAATGATTTCAGTTGGATGAACTGAGTGCGGCCAGAGAGATATGACTGAAACCAAGCGAGGGGTGTGTGGGTGATGCCAATGGATGAAAGTCTGTGGAGGAGGATGTTGTGGGAGATGGTATCAAAAGCCGCACTGAGATCGAGGAGGATGAGGAGAGAAAGTAATCCAGAATCTGCTGCCATGAGAAGAGAGTTGGTGATAGTGAGGAGAGCAGATTCTGTGCTACGACCGGGGAGGAAACCAGTCTGGAACTGTTCATATAGACTGTTATCGGTTAAGTGAAGGTGGAGTTGAGAGGCGACTGTTTTTTCCAGAATTTTGGAGATGAATGGAAGGTTAGAAATAGGACGGAGATTATTGAAAGTATTGGAATCCAATCCAGGTTTTTTAAGGATTGGAGTGATAACTGCAGTTTTGAAAATAACTGGGACAGTTCCAGAGGAAAGAGAAGAGTGAATGATGGCAGAAATGAACGGAAGAAGTGACAAAATGCAAGATTTAACAAGCGCTGTAGGGAGAGGATCCAGTGAGCATGTAGAAGGCTTGGATTTATGGATAAGTTTGGCTATTTCAGGGGCAGGAGGAAGCTGAAAGACAGAAAAAGGTTGACTAGGCAGATAAGGTTCAGAGGAGGGAGAAAGAGGAGAGACAGGACAAAGTTGCTGATGAATTTTACTGATTTTATCGTTAAAAAAGAACATGAGAGAATTACATGTGTTGTCTGAGTAGAAGTGAGAGGGAAGAGAGTCAGGGGGGTGAAAAGTATTGTTGAGCAATGAAAACAGGATCTTTGTGTTACCTTTGTTAGAGGAAATGAGGCCAGAGTAATAAGAATGTTTAGTTTGTGAGATCAAGTTCTTGTAGTGTGATGTATGAGAAATGTACATGTCCCTGTGGATGGTAAGACCAGATTTTTTATAGAGTTGTTCAAGTTGACGACATTTGGCTTTGATGGTCCAAAGTTCAGAAGTAAACCAGGGTGCAGAATGAATAAAGGTAACAGATCGAGTTTTAACAGGAGCAAGGGAGTTGAGAATATGGGTTAAGTGATGATTTTATTGAACAGTGAGTTGATCCGGAGTCAGAAGATGATCAGGGATCAGAGTGGTGGAAATATCAGTGGGTGGAAAAATCAACATGTTGATTTAATCCAGAACTCTCCAGGCAGGATAAAAAAAATCATTGGTGAGTGAAAGGTTAAGATTGTCAATATGGATATTAAAATCTCCCAATAAAATAATATTAGGTGACATGGCAGACAGTTGAGAAAGAAAGGAAGAAAATTCATTAAAAAAATCTTTGTGAGGTCTTGGGGGGCGATAAACAGTGGCAATGATGGTGGGGGTGGGTCCAGACAGTTTACACAACGCTCTCAAAAGAGCTGACCTCAGGAACACTCACTGACAAAACCTTCCAACTCTCGCGATGAATTATTGCGAGACCACCCCCGCGACCGGAGCTGCGGGGTTGAGAGATGTAAACAAAGCCAGGTGGAGTGGAGTCATTGAGTTGTGAAAAGTCCAGAGGTTGTTGCCAAGTTTCGGTCAAACAGAGAAAGTCAAGCTTACGGTCGGTGAGGAGATCTTGGATGTGATGTCCTTTGTCCGTGAGAGAACAGATGTTGAGCAGACCAAAGTTGACAGACGTGGAGTTAGCAGATGGGTTAGCTGACCTGGCTAGGCTGGCTAACATGTTGCAATCTGAAGACCGGGTGGCTTTCCTGGGAGCTCGACGGTTGTTGGTCCAAAATTAGTGGATGGGTTTTGACCTGTCAAACTGGAAGTTCCGGCGAGAC